CCACAGTAAAAAGAAATAATCGGCAGAGTAAACAGATAACCTATAGAGTGGGATAAAATCTTCGCAATCTATACTTCTGATTAAAGGACTAATATCCAGAATCTGCAAGGAACTCAAACAAACCAGCAAGAAAAAAAGTGCTGTCAAAAAGTGGGCTAAGGACATGAATAGACAATTCTCAAAAGAAGATCTACAACTGGCCAACAAACACATGAAAAAATACTCAACATAACCAATTATCAGGGAAATGCAAATTAAAACCACAATACAATACAATGCCACCTCACTCCTATAAGAATGGTCATAATCAAAAAATCAAAAAATAATAGATGATGGCATGGATGTGGTAAAAAGGGAACACTTTTACATTTTTTGGAGGGAATGTAAACTAATACAACAGCTATGGAAAAGAGTGAGGAGATTTCCAAAAGAAGTAAAAGCAGATCTATCATTTGATCCAGCAATCCCACTCCTGGGTATCTACCCAGAGGAAAAGAAGTCATTCTATGAAAAAGATACTTGCACATGCAGGTTTATAGTAGCACGATACGCAATTGCAAGAATTTGAAACCAGCCTACATGCCCATAAATCAATAAGTCAATAAAGAAAATGTGGTATATATATTTACCACGGAATACTACTCAGCCATAAGATGGAATGAAATAATGCATACAGCAAAAAGTGAAGTAACTTAGGAATAGAAAACCAAACATTGTATGCTCTCACTCATAAGTGGGAGCTAAGCTAAGAGGATGCAAAGGCATAAGAATGATACAATGGTCTTCGGGGACTCGGGGGAAAGGCTGGGAGTGGTGGGGTGGGTGTGGTGAGGGATAAAACACTACACATTGGGTACACTTGGGTGACAGTTACACCAAAAATCTCAGAAATCGCCACTAAACAACGTATTCATATAACAAAATACCACCCGTTCCCCAAAAACCTATTGAAGTTTTTAAAAACCCATCATATTCCCCAAAAACCTATTGACAAAAAAAAAATTAACTACAATAATATTAGGCATTGAGTATGGCAGCGTTGATGGATGGGAGCACTGCACTAACATTACAGCAATCCACTGTGAAACATTTATTATTGGCAAGTTTAAGAACAGGTCAAATTCTACCGCTAAATGTTGAAGCAATGAGGATAATCACCCCTTCACTAATTAATTAGGTCTTATATAAGTTTTATTTATCTGAAGTCAAGTTGTAATTTTTTTTGCACCATATTTCCTAATTTATCAACATGACGAGGCCAGGCACCATGGCTCAGGCCTGTAACCCTAAACCCAACACAAAACTCTACCCTAACCACTAACCCTAACTGCTAACCTTAAACCCCAACCCTAACCACTAGCCTAGCCCTAAATCCTAACCCAAACACTACCGTGACCCTGACCCGAAACCTAACCTATAACCTAACCCTAACCATAACCCCTAGCCATAGCCCCAACCCTAACCAAACCCTAAACCCTAACACCCTAAACCATAACCCTAAGCCTAACCCAACCCCAACTCCAAACCTTAACCCCAATGCTAACTCCCAACCCAAGCCCTTAAACCCTAACTCTAACCATGAACCTGAACCCTGAACCCCTAACAACAAGCCACGGCCCGAGCTCTAACCCTAATCCCTAACTCTAACCCCTAATCCTAACACTTAGTGCAAGCCCTAGACCTAATCCAAACCCCAAACCCTAACCCTTAACCCTAACCCCTAACCCCTAACCCCTGGACCTGGCCATGGCCCTGACCCTGACCCTGACCCATAACACCTAACACTAACCCAACCCTAACCATAACAACTAGCCTAGCACTACTAATAGGCCTAGCCCTAACCCATAACCCTAACCCTAAACTCTAACCCAAACCATACCACTGACCCCCTAAACCTAACTCTAACCCAAACCCGAACCCCAACTGCAACACCAAACTCTAACCTAACACAACCCCAACTCTAACCCTTAACCCTTAACACTAACCCTCAACCCACTACCCCTAACCCTACCTTAACCCTAACCCACTAAACCTAATTTTAACCCAAACCCGAACAACCACAACCCGAATCATAACCTTTAACACTAACACTCTAACCACCGAACCCTAACCACTAAGCCTACCCTAACCCTAAACCCTAGCCCCAACTCCAACTCCAAATCTATGCCTAACTTAAACCACTAACCCCAATCCAAAACCAACACCAACTGCAACCCTAACCCCTACCACCAAACCCTAACCTTAACCACTAACATGAACCCTAACCCTAACACCAACCCCAACCCATAATCATAAACTCAATACATACCCGCAAACGCAACTCCAACCCCTAACTCTAACAATAAAACCTAACTCTAGGCCTAGCCCTAATCCTAACCCCAACCCAACCCCAACCTAACCCAAACATCTAACCCTAGCTGCTACCCTACACTAAACCTAACCCTACCCTAACCCTAACCCAACCCCAAAACCTAACCCCTAAACCTAACCTCTAAACCTAACCGTAACCCAAACCCTAATCACTGACCCTAACCCTGTCCTAACACTAGCCCTAACCCTAGCCCAATCCTAACTGGACCACTGACCCTTTAATGCTGAACATGACGTTGACCCTAACACTTGACCCCCGACCCCTACCCTAACAACCCTAACCCTAAAGCTACCCTAACCTCAGCCCCTGGCCCTAACCCTAATCCAACCTGAACCCTAACACCGAACCCCTTAGCCCTAACCCTAACCACTAGCCCTAACACTTAACCCTAAACCATAGCCCTCTTAACCCTAACCCTAATACTAACCAGGAACCCCAACACCTAGCATTAAACCCTAACCACTAACCCAAACCCTTGCCCTAACCCAAGACCTAGCTTTAGCACAGACCTAGCTCTAACCCTAACTCGTAGCCCTAACCCGAAGCCCAAACCCTAACTGCAAGCCCCGACCAGGACCTTGACCCTAACCCCTAACCTTAACCCTAATCCCTAAACCAAACCCTAGCCCTACCCCTACACTTAACTTTAAACCAACCCTATGCCTAACCTTTACCCCTAACCATGACCCTGACCCCAGCCCCGGCCCTGAACCTAATACCTAACCTCAAGCCTAATCCTAGCATTAACCCTAAGTCCTAAACCCTAACAACCCTAACCCTAAACCTAACCCCTAACCCTAGCCCTAACTCCAACCCCCAACCCTAAACCTTAACCCCAACCCCTATCCATAACCTGAACACACATCCCTAACCTTCTAACCCTAACCCTCATCCTAATTCTAAGCCTTAACCCTAACCCCAACCCTTACCGTAACACAAACCCTCTAATTGTAGCCCATAACCCTAACCCAAACCCTAAACCCTAACCCTAATCCAACAGCAACCCCTCACCGTAACTGCTGTTAACGCAAAACATTAACCCTAACCTTAAAATGTAACCGCAACCCAAATCCCAAAGCTGACGTATCCTAATCCATAATCTATTCTAATCCTAACCACAACCCCTAAACTCTAACTCCTTATGCTAATGCCATCCCCAACCCCAACATTATACCCTAATCCTAACCCTCACGCTGACAGCAACCCTAAATCTCACCATAACAATTGTAAACCTATCTTTGGATTCTAGGCCGTGACCCTGAGTGACCCTAACCCTGCTCCCTTGTTACACATTCCCATTTCACCATGCCGTATTTGGAATCGAGCCGTGTCACTCCACTGCTGCAAAATCCTATTCGTCAAGATCCTGTATACCTTACCTTGCCTCAGCAGATGTCTGTCTTTGACACGTTCTTCAATACTGCTCTTCCCCATTAAACTACTGTACTCAGGAAAAAAACGTTGCCACACTTGTGTGCACCACTTACCATGGATTAACACACGTCTTAAAGGAGTAAGCCAAGGATAGACATTTTTGTTTGATATTTTTATTTTTAATTTTTGTTGGGACACAGTAGGTGTATGTGATTCCTTCAGTCTTAAAGCAGCCATCTTCTCCCACCTATGGCTCCCAAGGCCATCACAGGGGTCCTCAGCACTTCAGTACCACAGGATCTGAGAAAATGTGGAAGGTTTTATGTCGTCCTGTGTAAGGGCCAGGCCCGTAAGGATCATCACTTGCATACTTTGTTTTGTTTTGTTTTTGAGACGGAGTCTTGCTCTGTCGCCCAGGCTGGAGTGTAATGGCGCAATTTTGGCTCACTGCAACCTCTGCCTCCCGGGTTCACACAATTCTCCTGCCTCAACCTCTAGAGTAGCTGGGATTACAGGTGCACACCACCATAACTGGCTATTAATTTTTCTATTTTTTAGTAGAAATGAGGTTTCACCACATTGGTCAGGCTAGTCTCAAACTCCTGACCTCGTGATCTGCCCAACTCAGCCTCCCAAAGTGCTGGGATTACAGGCGTGAGCTACCACTCCCAGCCACATGGGTACATATTCTACTGCAGAGCTGTTATCTGATGCAGCCACAAAAACAGAGGGCTGAGAAATGCCGTGTGTCCAACAGAAAAAGGTGTGAATTTTGTAGAACACATTTAGCCAGTCTCTGACACACAGGATTTCTCTCGTGTGAATTCCCTAATACCTGCTGAGGTGTTACTTCAGACAAAAGGATTTTGCACATTCATTACATTTTTTTTTTTTTTTTTTTTTTTGAGATTGGAGTCTCGCTCTGTCGCCCAGGCTGGAGTGCAGTTGCACCATCTCGGCTCACTGCAACCTCCAACTCCCAGGTTCATGCCATTCTCCTGCCTCAGCCTCCTGAGTAGCTGGGACTACAGGTGCCCGCCACCTCGCCCGGCTAGCTTTTTTGTATTTTTAGTAGAGACGGGGTTTCACCGTGTAAGCCAGGATGTTCTCCATCTCCTGACCTCATGATCCACCCTCCTCGGCCTCCCTGCCCTCCTCGGCCTCCCAAAATGCTGGGATTAGAGGTGTGAGCCACTGCGCCCAGCCCACATTCATTACACTCTTAGGCTTTCTCCCTTGTGAGAATTTCTTGACGCCTCCTGAGGTCTGACTTCTGCTAAAAGGTGTTTCCAACACTCATACAGCCACAGGGCTTTCCCTGTGTGACTTCTCTGATGGGTATTAAGGCTTGACTTGTGGTTGAAGGATTTCTCACACTGGTTACATGCACAGGGTTTATTTCCTGTATGCATCCACTGATATGCTGTAGGATTTCATTTGCTACTAAGGCTTTTCACACCTTCAGTATGTTAACAGGCCTCTTCACCTGAGTGAGTTCTGTAATGTACAGTGAGGGCTGACTTCTGGTAGAAAGCTTTCCTACATTCTTTGCATTCATATGGTTTCTCATGTGTGTGAATTCTCTGATGTCTATTGAGAGTTGACTTCTGGCAAAAGCTTTTCCCACATTCTTTGCATTCATACGGCTTCTCCCCTGTGTGAATTCTTTCATGTATCATGAGGGATGACTTCTGGTAGAACATTTTCCCACATTCCTTACATTCATGGGATTTCTTCCCCATGTGAATTCTTTCATGTACAGTGAGGGCTGACTTCTGGAAGAAGGTTTCCCTACATCCATTACATTTATAAGGCTTCTGTCCTGTGTGAGTTTTCTGATGCCTGCTGTAGTTCGCCCTCTGACGAAAGGTTTTTCCACATTCGTTACACTTGAAGGGTTTTTCTCCTGTGTGAGTTCTCTGATGTGTGGTGAGCACTGACTTCTGGTAGAAGGATTTTCCACATTCATTACATTCGTAGGGTTTCTCCCCTGTGTGAGTACTCTGATGCATCCTCAGGTTTGACTTCTGGCTAAAAGTTCTCCCACATTCATTACACTCATAGGGTTTTTCCCCTGTGTGAGTCCTCTGATGTTTAGTGAGAACTGCCTTCTGGTAGAAGGTTTTCCCACATTCACTACACTCATAGGGTTTTTCACCTGTGTGAGTACCCTGATGCATCCTGAGGTTTGACTTCTGGCTAAAGGTTTTTCCACATTTATTACATTCATATGGTTTCTCACCTGTGTGAGTTCTCTGATGTATAATGAGAACTGAATTCAGGCAAAATGTTTTTCCACATTCATTACATTCATAGGGTTTTTCTCCTGTGTGAGTTCTCTGATGTACAGTAAGTTTTGACTTCTGAGCAAAAGTTTTCCTGCATTCTTTACATTCATATGGCTTCTCACCTGTGTGAGTTCTCTGATGTACTGTGAGGGCTGACTTATGGTAGAAAGCTTTCTTACATTCTTTACATTCATATGGCTTCTCACCTGTGTGAATTCTCTGATGTACAGTGAGGACTGACTTCTGATAAAAGGTTTCCCCACATTCATTACACCTATATGGTTTCTCTCCTGTGTGAATTCTCTGATGTACATTGAGGGCTGACCTCTGGTAGAAGGTTTTCCCACATTCCATACATTCATAAGGTTTCTCTCCTGTGTGTATTCTGTGATGATAAATAATGGCTGACATTTGGCAGAAGGTTTCCCCACATTCATGACATTCATAGGGCTTTTCCCCTGTGTGGATTCTCTGATGAACAATTAGGTTTGACTTCTGACAGAACGATTTCTCACATTTGGTACATGCAAAGGGTTTCTCCCGTGTATGTGTTCTCTGATGATTTGCAAGGTATGATTTCTTAATGAAGGATTTCTCACATAGTACACATTTATAGGGTTTCTCTCCTGTGTGTATTTTCTGATGTTTGGTAAGCTTAGACTTTTTACAGAACACTTTCCCACATACACAACATTCGACATTTATCTTCCGGCAAGTGAGTGCTGACTTATCACAGGATTTCCCACGCTCACTATAGGTACATGGAGTCTTTCCACCGTGACCCTTCTCTGCCTCAGTGCTGAAGGCTTTTCCTTGTCTACTATACTCAAAAAGCGGCTGCTCCATATGAATCTTGTTATGGTGACTAAAATACTCATGACACGTGAGAGATTTCCCAGTTATACTTCGAGCATCAGGTTTTCCTCCTGCCTGCATTTCATGAGGCTCAATCGAGATATGTATGTTCTGACTTACATTTAACTCCTCAGGCCTCATTCCTGAATAGTGTGCATTATTTACCATCACATCTGGAATATGGTTTAAGCTCAAATTAAGTATTTTTCCTAATTCAACTGTTTCCTTGGTTGATGTTTTGCTGTTGGTGACTGCAACTTGCCATATACGTCTATGATGAATTTCCTGGCTTCTTTCAATTATATCAACTGTCTGGACACCTGTAACGAAGAAAAAACAAAACAAAACAAAGCAAAACAAAAATCCATGAACCACACACAAGCATTTGTTATGGAATGCTTATATAAAGACTCAATGAAGTTATTTTCTCTCCTAGTGGCATAAGATTCTTTAAAAATCAATAATCAGGACTGGTTTTATAAGCACATGGCTGTTCCTACTAACTTAAGAAATTACATTACTAGATTTTCTAATGTGAAATTATGTTTTTCACTGTTGTTTCATTAAAAATATTTGGTAAAAAATATTCACCTACACCTAGTTGTAATTTTCCCCTAAGGGCTTATCACCTGCCAACTGTTTTCTCTATTGTTTTTCTCCATTTCATTCTTGTAACAATGGGAGGCATCTTGTGCTATTTTTCTCATTCCGTCTTGAAGATGATAAGGATCAGCTACCTGCAGGTGCCCACCATGGCCACTTGTCTTCAGGACCAGATTTTACACCAGTGTTTCTTTAGCTTTCATGCTTCCCTGGGAACGTCTATAGGCATCTGGGCATTTTTCAAATACAAAATCTCTCCTCCAAACTAGGTGAAGACTGCCTCTTTCAAATTTCTAACTTAACCTGACTCGCGTAGCTTCTCAGAACTGTAATAGATACATGAAGCTCCACTCCACCACTGTGGGCATCCCCTCCCTGCTGGTCCTAAGGATTCAGTTCTGGAACTGGGGTGGGGTTCACCATCTTTGAAAAATCATTTATTGGCTCCTTCCGAGATGAATAGACCTGATATTCTCCCCCCAAATTCTTGGCACATCCATCCCTGCTTCATAATTCAATGCTTCTGAAGGCTTTTGTGTGTTCAAGTTTCAGCTGTCTCCTAGTTTTAGAGAAAAATGGGGTCTCTTGTACACTTCTCATTGTCTACTGCCAAACAGAAATCTCAGCCCTTCAACATGAAACCTTTGCTTCAATAGGCTTTGGAATCCAGAACCTCCTGGTTCTCTTCCAAATTCCAGGCCTATCCTGTTCCATGCTCTTATGCTGGGTCCTCCTCACTGTAAGGATTTCTGATGTCATTATAAAAAAAGCCTCACTATGAGATTGTTCTTATTTTTTGTTCAACTCCCTAGGTGACCTCCTCTATAATTATGATTCTAAACACCAGCTTTGACTTACCGATTTTTAAGTTTGTATCTCCAATTGTGATGTCCACTCTTTACATATATATTTATATTCACCTACTATGTGCCACAATTGGAAAAGAGTTAAATTGAACTGGAGCTATGCCAAAGTTAACAACGCCTCTAACACTGCATTGTCTTACCATCTTTCCTAAATTTTATCCCTTTTTTACTCACTCTGGTTAAATATTACACATGGTTCTTTTACAACTACTTAACATATATTATTTTGTTTCTCTTATCACAAAGTACACTTTATGAAAAAAGACATTATTTTGACCATTGCTGTTATAAACACCAAGTATAAAGTTACCATGGCTTACAAGCTACTCGATTAAGATGTGTTGAAAGAATCAACGGATGTATGAATAAATGTCCGGGGGAAAAAAAACAGTCCATGAAAATGGAGGAAAAGAAAACAACTGAGAAAATTGAGAAATGAATAGCAAAAAAACATGTCTAAGAGCAAGGTAGGGACTAGATTGAGTAAATATTTTAAAATATTTGCAAAATAAAATGCAGGGATATATGCATGAAAGCCCTCCTTGGAGATGATAGAATTCACATGTTTGATGCATAAAGATCAGCTGTCCTCAGGTATGGGACCTGGGAGAAAAAGTGGTGAAAACAAGTCAACGATGCAAATATCTGCTGGGCTTTACTCTTCCTGGCTTCCCTGCCCAGGATGCAGTTGACTAACCTGAGAGGCACTGGTTTGCCCATTCTTCTCCTAACCATGGCTCTGCTCCTTGCTCCAACTTGAAGATCACCTCAGGTTTGGTAATGCAATGGCCTGGTAATGGGAAATAATGGAGGACTTAGCCAAACTGCAAAGTAAGGTCCTTTTGAGAATGACAACAGCTCGGTTTCAGAAGCTGTATAATGAAGGAGCCTATTTGAATCTTTTGTTAGAGAGGGTTGACACATTCTTCACATGGAATAGCATTAAACCTTATAAATGCTTCCTATACTTACCAACATGGAAGTAAGTGTTGCTTCTGGGGGTTACTGGGCAGCTTCACTCACCCAGTGACACCAGGCTGCTGTAGGTCTCCAGCATCACGTCCCTGTATAGTGTCCTCTGTGCATCATCCAGGTCCTGCCACTCCTCCCAGGTGAAGTGCACGGCCACCTCCTCAAAGGACACCAACCCCTGTAATGGCACATTTCTCCTCAAGTCATCAGCCCAGGGTCACAAGATAGGAATGTCAGAGTTCATTCTTCTGTAGCGGCATGTCTCTTATGTGTATCTTACATAAACTGTAGCTTCTCTGTACTCTATATGGAGAAAGAACAAGCATAGTAGAAGTATCCTGCCACTATCATGTTTTGTTAATAAAATAGATTACAAAGTTTACCTTGTAGATGTAGAATCATCCTTATTGTGAAAGATAAAAGTAGAAAAAAATTCTGTGATCTGGTATGATGACAAAAATTATAAACACATACCTAGAACAACATGATAGATGAATTAGTAGAGACATAAGTTTAATGTCGACTGCAGTAAGAAAGGAGAAAATACAGTTCCATATTGCATTAGAAAGTTGCACTTCATTGAAAAACCAAAGATGCTTAGTATTTCATGTGAACCATGTGTTCTCGTGACTTTGAGGCAACACTGGAGTCTAGTCATAAGGACACGAAGAACACATACCATATTAACGGAACTGCACACAGCACCATGTCTAGCTGAATGATCCCGGGCTGTGATGAGAGAGAACACAACACTGAAGGAACTGATTATGGAGTGAGTCTGCATGTAAATATCTGACCTAACTCCAAAAGTTATTTTAAAATTATTTATAAATTAAAATAATGTACATAAGCATCTGAACATTTCCTTCCTCATGCCCAATGACTGCTTGTGTCCACCCTTAGGGTGCACACTCCTATTTCCCTAACCACCGGGTGTAAATAATGTGTAAATCTGTGTAATGTTTACCCTCATCTGTGAGTGTAATGCGTGTAAATACCTGTAAGAACAAGTATGTTACATGACCAAATATGCATTTTCACAGTCGCCTAGAGGGAGAATGGGTAAGGACTTTGGGGAGATTCAGAGGGGAAGAAAACAGAGTGATAGATGACCACATTCATCCTATCACAGAGCAGTAAGAATACAGAACAGGGAAGCAATCCTTAAAAAGGAAAAGGGGAAAAGAAAAAGAATTTGGTGCTAATTTGCTGTGCAGAGGGTAAAATGGGGAGTTTCACTTTCAGATGATGCAGAATCATGTCTAGTGAGGTAATGGCACTGCAAATTTAGAAAATTAAAAATATGACGACCAGAAGTGACACAGACTTAGATCATATTGGAAACATCTGAGGTACCGTATGTGGGAATGTCCAACTAGCAACTGGATATACAATTCCAGAGTTCAGAAAAGATATCTAAGCAGAAGATAAATATGTGGGAAGTATCAGAATTTGTAAGGTACTCGTAGCCATCACAGTTTAAGAGATTAAAAGAAAAAATGAACAAATGCAGAATCTACAGAAACACTGACCAAGACAAACTTTCGAAGATTATTCTACAAATAAAGCTCAATATTAATAAGTATACTAATATAACCATATTCACAGTTCTATAAAGAAAAATTCTTCAATTTCGCACATGGACATACACAATGTACTTTTAGAAACACATTCCGGGTTTCTATGTCTGCATGTAAGAAGCTTGAAAGTCATCATTCCATCTTAACAACAAATGAAAAGCGGAAGAAACTGAAAAATCAGCAACTCTTCTTGGATCTGTAAGGGAGGGAGAACACAGGACAATCCACTGCCCCAAGATTGGAGATCTAGACAGGCAAAAACAAGAACAGAGATTCACTAGCAAAAATCACCATGGGAACCAGTGCAGGAGGAGGAAATTCTGAACGGTAACTGACAAACTGTGAGAGGCTCAGTGCGAACAACTCCAGAAGTTAAAAACTCCAGGGGGACCCAGTCATGAGGGTGACTCCACAGTACTGTGAAATTTACCACTAGGAGCTTAAGTAGCCTCCTACAGTAAATACTGGAGACAGCTCCCCTCCTGCTTCCACCTGCAGGCAGGCAGGGAAAAGGCAAATCATTTTGAAATATGAAAGAGTACTGCATTGCTTCTTAACCAGAGCCTAGCCTGATGTGGTATTAACAGCTTCAATGACCTAGGTGAAGGGAAATACCCAACTCCAACCCACTCTAGCCATCATGTCGCACCTAAAATAGAAGGGAAAAAAAAAAGAGCAACACTTGTGAAGTTCACAGTTCAAAAGAAAGAAGAGCTCACTAAAAGTCCTGTTGACAGGACTACAGACCACTTCGGCTATGGTCTAAAAGTGTGTGTCCCCGCAAAATCGTTACTTGGAAGCCTAACCTCTAATTTTACTGCAAGATTTGGAAGATACAAATTCAAGTGATTACCAAGGTTGGACTATTGGGAGATACCTGTTTTGATGACAAACACTGAGACCACACAATCGACTAGGCCAAAGTTATCTAGAAAAATGAGTTCACACATGGAAAAGTGTGAAACCCAGCTGTTCCTATTGTGTTTTCCAAAAATTAGGGACGTCTGCCTTACGAGACTCACGCTGCTCTCGGGTACACACATGGTAATCCTTTCATTTAAGCAGAGGCGCTCGCAGCACCTTCACAGCACCAGCCTCTCCCCAGAGAAAAGGGCCACCCAGACAATCCTGCTGCTGGATCTCACTCTGTCACCCAGGATGGAGTGTAGTGGCACAATCATAGACAACTGTAACCTCATGGGCTCAAGTAAATCCTCCCTCCTCAGCCTCCTGGGTAGCTAGGACTACAGAAGTGTACCACTATGCCCAGCTAATTTTTTTGTTGTTTTGTAGACATGAGATCTCACTGTGTTACTGAGGCTGATCTTGAATTCCTGGCCTAAGGCAGTCTTTCAGTCTCAGCCTCCCAAAGTATTGGGATTGAGACACAAACCATGGTGTGCAACTATATGACATTTTCTATATTCACTTATATTTCTATGGACATTCAGGTTGTTTTCATATCTTGCCATAATCCATTTTCAATTTACTTTTCTGTATGGTGTAAAATGTGGTCCAATTTTTTTGCATGTGGATAACCAGATTTCCCATCATTTACTGAAGAGTTTGTTTTCTCGTGTGTATTTGTATGCCTTTGTTGAAAATTAATTGACTCAGGCCAGGCTGACTGATACATTTCTGACCTCTCTATTCTGTTCCATTGGTCTATGTGTCTGTTTTTATGCCAGTGTCATTCCGTTTTGATGACTACAGCTTTGCTATGCAGTTTAAAATCGGGAAATATAATGCCTCCAGCTTTGCCTTTCTTACTCAAAATTGCTTTACTCTTTTATGATTCTAAACTTAAGAATTTTTTTTCTATTTTTCTGAAATATGCTATTGAAATTTTGATAGACTGATTTGAATCTGTATATCACTTTGGGCACTACGGATGTTTAAAGAAACCTTTTTCAGGAACACAACATATTTTGTTTTCTTTGTGTCTCCTATAATTGCTTTCATTAATATTTTACAGTTTTTGATGTATAGATCCTTCACCATCTTGGTTATATTTATTCCTAAGTACTTTATTCTTTTTGACATTATGTTAAATGGATTTATTTCTGGATTTTTGTCAGATATATTGTTAGGATATAGAAATGCAAGTGATACTTTTGGTACATTGGTACAATATCCTGAAATGTTACTTAATTAGTTTATTAGTTCAAAAAGTTATTTGATGTAATGAGGAGCACAATGGACTGTGGTTACACATTAAATGATAGCTTCTGTTAGTATATCACCATGCCTCAAAAAGTGATCTGCTGTATTTCTGCTGTTACAAATTCAGTCGCATTTTTTAGTCCTAGTATTTTTTCTTCTAAAATATTTTTGTCTATCATTAGCTAATAATGTGTATCCTCTGCTTACTGTTCAATTGTGCTACCCATTTATCTTCCAGCCTAGTTAGTCCAACTTTCTAATAAAATTTTTAACAATGGTATGTTCATTTACTGTAAACTTAAATAGTAAATTTGTATGATAGTTTTACAGTTACCAAATAGGATTTAAAACATGTCAATTTGTTGCTACCAATGAATCTCTGGGGTCCTAATTTTAAACATTTATGTATCATGTCTATTAAATATGTACATGCAATGGCTTAGAATTAAGCCTAACATATCGTATGCACTAAGTATCAATCAAACCAATTTTTAAAATTATCACTTTCATACTATTAAAAATTATTTAGAGAGAAGAAAAAGATATAGGTCATATACCTGGATCTACATAAGGAAAGGAAGAGCAGTAAAGAAAGAATGAGGGTATCTTAACCAATCTACATATTATGTACAAACATATGCAATTATATACACATGCACAATTATGTGTGCTTATATGTAGTTGAAATGAATGATGACAACGACACAAGGGACAGGAAGATGGAAGAGAAAAATTATGTTAGAAGATAGTCACGCTACTTGTGAAGCAGTACAGTATTATTTGAAACTGGACTTGTAAGTGTATATTGAAACCCTAGGGCAACTTCTTAAACTAGTACAAAAAGTTTTAAAAATTATAGCTATAAAGAAAACACATGCTAAGAAAGAAGAGGAAATGGAATCATATAAAATGCTCAGTTAACATCTCAAAAGGCAGAAAGAGTAGAAGACAAAACAATATGGGAATAATAACAGTAACAAATACGGCAGTTATGAATTCAACTATATCAATAATCACTTTGAATATCAATGGTCTAAATTCACGAATTAAAACAGAGATTGTCAGAGTGGATCAAAATACAAGACCCAACTATATGTTGTCTACAAGAAACCCATTTTAAATATAAAGCCACTCATTAATTAAAAGTAAACAGAGAAAAATATACAATGCTAACAATAAGAAAGCAAGAGTGGCCAGGTGCAGTGGCTCACACCTGTAATCCCAGCACTTTGGGAGGCTGAGGTGGGTGGATCACTTGAGGTCAGGAGTTCGAAACCAGTCTGGCCAACAAGGTGAAACGTCTCTATTAAAAAAAATACAAAAGTCAGCTGGACATGGTGTTGGGCACCTGTAATCCCAACTACTTGGGAGGGTGAGGCAAGAGAATCGCTTGAACCGAGGAGGCAGAGGTTGCAGTGAGCTGAGATCACGCCCTTGCACTCCAGCCTGGGCAACAAAAGTGAAACTCTGCCTCAAAAAAAAAAGAGTACCTATATTTCACACAAAGTAGACTTCAAAGAAAGTAAGTTATCATGGAAAAAGAATGGTACTTCATCATGACATAGCAGTTAATCCTCCAAAAAGATGACAATCCTTAATGTGTAAGCACCTGACAACAGACTGTCAAACGACATGAGGCAAAAACAAAACTGGAAGGAGAAATAGATGGATCCACTATCACAATTTGAGACATCAACACTCTCCATTAGAAACAGATCCAGCAGGCAGCCA